TGGGCCTGGCTGTATTGAGGGCGCGGAGCGCGGGGAAGGGCGATTCGCCTCTTCCGCTTGCGAGCGAGCACCCCCCTTCGCCACGTGTGGTCACCGCATGCGAAGCAAATCGCGCCGTGCGTCGCCGTGCGCGCGTGTGAGCGCCCCTGAGCAACACACCCCACCCCACACGCCCACCGGCGCACCCTCGGCCCGCACACGCGCCCTGGCGACCCACAGACCTCCCTCGCCGCCGCGCGTTCGACGTGCTGCCGAGACTGCTCCGGCGGCATGACAGCCCCTGCTGCTTCCTGTCGCAGGAAGAGCCGCGTACAGCGCTGATCGTGCGTCCACAGAGCCAGCTTCGCGCGATGCCGTCCTTCCGGGCGACGACGCGCGCCTTCTGCAGGGCACACGGTGCGGCGCTGCGCTGTCGCGAGCGCGTCGCCGGCATTCACTCAGATTCGCCGAGCGCTGCGCGGCTGGCTGACGCCGCTCGCTCAGGCGGGCGCGGCTTGCCATCCCTCGGCGCCGGCGACATAAATCCGTACAACGTGGCCGGACAAGGCCACAAAGCTTCCACCGGCGGGTGCAGCGCCTCTGTGAGAGGCGCCGGTGATCCTAGCTAGCTGCCCTGCTGCTGCGATCGCCGCTGCCGCTGCAATAGCCGCAGGCGCAGGCACGACGACCATTATTGGACCATCCACCGGTGCGGCGAACATGTGTCTCGGTGCCCTCCCGCTCGTCTTGTTCATACTCCATCGCCAGGCGCACTTCCGTCCTGACGCTCCCGCTGCTCGCGGCGCGGCGCCGCGGTGCGCAGGCGCGCGCGTGGCCACAGCTGAGAAGCCGCGACTGCTCGACGGCGCGCGCCGTACTGCGCCTTTGGGGCGCGACGGCCGTCGAGCCGCGTGACACGCTCTCCACGGCCGCAGCGACCCGGAGCAGCGGCGGCGACGAGGGCGAGGGCGAGGGCGAGGGCGCTCTCGGCTCGGCTAGAGCGGCCGAGAGGCAGTGCGGTCGCGCCTTTTACCGCGACCGCCGCGCCGCCACAGCGGGCGAGCTCGCGCGGGTGTGGCGGGGGCGAGGGGTGCCACGTGGCGGGGGCGAGGGCTGCTGCGGCCGTCAGCGTCAGTCTGCGTGTCGGGGCGCGTTCGCCCGCGTACGGCTCAGACAGGCGTCGGTCGCCGCCTCCGCTGCACGCGGGGCGTTGCGCTGCGCGAGGGCCGCCTGCAATTGCTAGCCATGTGCTTGTTTCACGGCGGCAATGGGTCACGCTCACGCCTCACGGGTGTGGGGCACGCTCACACGGGTGTGCACTCTCGCTACCATTTTTCACATCTGCTGGTTGGACTAACGGCGTATTCTGTCTCATAAAAAGTCTGCTCCTTGGTCAGAAGGAGCCAACTCTGCCTTAAACTTTGATTGCTAGAGGGAATGCCGGCCGGAAAGCTAGCTCAAACACGGAAGAAAAACGGCTTCGCGGGCACTTGTGCACAGGCGTTTCGCGGACGGACGCGCGAATCGAGTGGCTGTGTTTGCGTTCGGTCGCCGGCGCTGTTTGTGGGCCCGCATGAGCAGTTCTCGCCGACGCTCCGGGGCGAGTGCGTCCAACGACACGCCCACGGTGCGCACACGCGCGGCTCAGCCGCGCACAGACCTGCCATCGCCTCTGCACGCTCGACGTGCTGCCGAGACCGCGCCAGCAACATGACAGCCCCTGTTGCTTCCTGTTGCAGGAAGAGCCGGTGCGTACGGTGCTGGTCGTGAGTCCACAGAGTCAACTTCACGTGCTGCAGTCTGACAGGAAGTCAACGCTCAACTTCTGCAACGAATATAAGCAGCGGCATAACTACTTTTGGAAAATGGCAGTGCACGAGACCCAAGAGAATGCATCGCTCTGGGTGCTCCTGTCAAGGGCCAGGTGGATTCGGAACGAGAAGTACGGCGCGGTCGTCGCGGTCGCTGGGCCAAAGGCGCTGTTTGATCACCAAGAGACCATTTGTCTCACCTCTGGCCTGCCGGTGGCGTCGATGAGGTTTGGCGACCAAAGCAACGTGGGCCACCTTCTCAACTCGGTGCCTCGCGAGCATCTGTGCACCCGTCATCTCGCAAATGTTTTCACGGCAACCGTGGCACTGTAGGAAGGGATCGGCGACCGCGGCCGGGGAGGCCTCGGTGGCTGGGTCGCCATGAAGCAGCCCGAATGGGCAGAGCGGCTCTCGGCGGCAGATGGGCTGACCCCGTGCGACAAGTGCGGCCACCCAACGATGGTGCTCGTCTTCGATGAGTCGGGTTGCGTATGGAGGAACTCGCCGGCAGCCGAGGCCTGGAATCTAGCGCCAAATGCCGATGTCTCGCTCAACGAGGGGTCGGTCGACCGTGAGATTGACCAGCTCACCGGCCAGCAGCTCGAGAACTACTTGGAAGCCGACGAGGTGATGGAAGAGGCGGGCGAGGAGCAGGACTCCCACGACGGCACCGAGCCCTCAGGCTTCTACCAGGAACTTCTCGAGGTGCCTCCTCGCTGCATCTCCCCCTTGCTTTTTTGCCTGCGCTCACTCTGTGCTGCCCTCTTGCAGGCAGTTGAAGAGCTGCCGCAGAACGGCGAGGGCGAGGAGGCGCTCTTGTCCACATTTCCTGTCGACTCGCTGAGTCCCCTCGCCGCCGTCTCCCGCTCCAAGATGGAGCTGATGTCCGATTGGTCATTCCGGGTTTGGCGGCAGGGGCTGCCTCGCGAGCTCGCCCTTCGCGCCGTGCTTGGGCCGCAGATGCGTGCCGAGCTTGATCGGGTTTGGTCCCAGGTGCGGCCGCTCTTTGCTGCGACCGGCTGCAACCCGTTGCAGTTGATGTCCTACATGGAGCGCCAATTCCCGTACGAGTACAATTTGCTCGCCCACGCGGCCACCGGCGTCGAGCGCCACCATCTCGTGCAAAGCTGCATCGACTCGCCGCTGCCTGGCGACCACACGATGATGACCGAGCTGGCGGGACGCTTCACGGGACGCATCATCTTTGCGATAGCGGGCACGTCCTCGCAGAGGGAGCGAGAGGACCCGGACACTCTCTCGCCGACCTATGTGCAGAACCACGCGAATGGCGCCCTGATGCGCGAGATCTCGATGCTGCACTCCCTCCAGCCGCGTCTGCTCATGCCTCTGCAAAATGCCCTCGGAGTCGCCGTCCGCTCCGCCGTCAACATGAGCGAGCTGTCCCAGTACCTGCGCGGATTCCAAATCGTGCCGGACGAGGAGGTCTCGCGAAAGTTCCTGCTCCAGGTGCAGAATCTGGCCGAGATGAACCGCGTGCTGCGCCTCGCTCAGTGGGCGACGCAGGGGGACGGCTGGACGGTCAGGTTAGACAACTGCGACGTGGGAAAGCTGCTGCACTTTGTCGCGATGATCGCGACTCGAGACCATAAGCCACCGGCGGCGCCCTTCCCCTTCGTCTCCTCCGACCCCGTCATCCCAAAACCGTTCGCACAGGGCGCGCACGAGGCGTGCCCGGCCCCTGCCACCCGTCTGCTCCACGCGTTGCATCCACAACGCGTCCACACCGTACCCTCCGTAGGTGCCGCGTGCGCGCTCAGTTGCACGGCCGCCCTTCGAAGCTATCGGCTTCGAGCACTTTATGTCCTTCTCGGCGATGGAGATTGAGGCCGAAACCAATTGGCGCATCTTAATGGAGGTAGCAGCGGAGTACATCGATGTTGCTGATGCAGACGCCGGCCGCAGGCTTGATCGCGCCGCTCTCTCCCGTCGCACCAAGGGCGGGAAACAGACGCACATTGTCCACAGCGCTCGTGCGCTGGGGGCAAAGAGGGAGGTACTGGCCCTTGGCGCCCCGCCAACGCTGCCACCTCCGGCACGGTGCTCCTTTGCCCGCGGCACCAAACGGTTGCGGATGAGCTCCCCTCCACGCCCCTGTGCGACCGCCTTGTGTGACTATAAGCCGAACAGCTTGGAGATGGCCGCCGAGGTGAGAGCAGGAGAGCCGGTCGAGCTGCTCCACTGCGAGCCTCACGATTCGGTCGCCCTCGTGCGCACCACGGCGGGCCCCGCGCCACGCTTGCTTCCAGCCTATGTGATTGGGCGGGGCGAGGTCGTCGCTGCTGAAGACCGCGCGGAGTGGGAGAGGGCGCTTGGTGGCTCAAGCCTCGCGCCAAGGGTCGACCGCATGGCCCTTCTCGATCAAATCGTTATGCAGCCGGGAACCGAGGATATGAACGGCAGCATCACCTTCAATGTCGAGGGCGCCGACGGCGGCGAGTGGACGGGGGCGAGGAAGCGGGCGCGGCGGCAGCGGCGCGCGGCAGCGAGACAGGCTGAGGCGGACGAGGCATCGAGTGATGACGAGCTGCCGAGCGAGGACAAGCAGCCGAGCGAGGGTGAGGGGATGGACGAAACCGGCTCGATGGCGCCCAGCTCGCCCATGTCCATGTCATCCCCTCTCGCGTCGAGGCAGGCCTCGTCGGAGGACGAGGTGTCCGGCGAGCAGGATGCCGCCTCGATTGCCTCGCCCGGCGGCATGCCACCACCCGCCTCGTCGGGCGGGTCGCCGTTCGCTGCGGGCGACTTTAGTACCGCACACGAGCTGGCCTACGACACACGTCGGGGCGGGCCTGGCAGCGGCTGGAGGAGCCGCGAGCAACAGTGATAGTGGCGTCCCCGCACACAGCGATAGTGGCACCTTCCCTCGGCTCATTGCCCTCGAGCTCCCCGAGCGCGCGCCAGCCACCTTGCAGCACAGCCTCCCTCAGCAGCACTGCTTTGGCACTGGATCGGCCGCGGCAGCTTCGTTTCGACTCATCGCCGTCCTCTACTATCTGGACCAGTGTCACTTCATCGCCTACGTCCTTGACCCGCGCGAGCTCATCTGGCTCCGCTATGATGGCATGCACGCGAATGGTTGTGCCGTGGCTGCTTCGCCAACGCAGACAGGCGAATGTGTGGAGCAGAAACTCATGTTACGTGGACTCGGCACTGGTAGTGTGGGAGCATATCGAGCGTTGGCTGGCTGTGGCGATGTGAGCTCCTTTTTTCTGCATGCGTACACAAAATGGCATCGTGTGCGCGAGCGTTTGCGGCGAAGCGCGCTCCTGACTCTCGTCTCTCGGGTTGCTCGCTCACGCACGAAACCTCAAACCACACCAATCACACACCGCGCAACGGGCTCACCAACCCTGCGAACGTGCTCGGCGTTTCTGCCCACGTTGCGGCCCGGGCTCGGGCTCGCTCGCTCGAGCGAGCTCCCGCTGTTGCCTCTCAGTCTCACGCGCCTGCTGCAGCCTCTCCAGCTCCCGTCGCTGCCGCCTAGCCTTTTTCTCCGCCCGCCTCTGTTCCCGCGCCCGCGCCCGCTTCTTCTCCTCCTCGCGGGCCATCTTCGCCTCCTCGGCCGCGATCTCGATCGCCCACAGCGACGTCGCCGCGACCTTCTCCGCGCGCCTCGCCACCTCCGCCTCCTCGCGGTCAGTCGCGCGCCTCAGCTCGAGGAGCGCCTCGTTGGGCACGCCTGCCTCGACGAGAGTCTGCGCGGAACCGTCGGCCCTGAACTCGCACAAGCGCTGTGCCGGTCCGTGCAGCGGCGCACTGCTCGGCCCGCCAGCGCGCCGCTCCTCAGGCCGGAGCCAGAGCTCGGGCCGGCGCCCGAGGAGGTCTGCGCGTCCCGGCATCACGGCTTTTACCTCGCCGACCGTGGTCATGATGCCGACGGGAAGGAAGAGCGTCTCGGCCCGCGAGACGTCGGGCCTGGTGATACGCACGACCCGCTGCCCGCGATCGCGGTACCCCTTGAGGATGGCGACGCGAGCGAGATCCTTGACGGAGAACACGACGCCAGCGCCGGGATGCGCTGAGCGGGGCAGCCCTTGGAGGTCGGCGTCGGTCAGGCCGTACTCGCTGCGGGCGCGGACGATGCCGAGCTGTGCGACGCCGGCGGGAACGAGCAACTCGAGTCCGAGAGGCGCAGAGGACGATGCCATGAGCTCCGCGCTGTCGTCGCTGGGCAGCGTGGCGACGACGCCACCAAGCCTTCGCAGATGGCGATAGTGGCGACGTCAGCGGTGTCGAGGACCAGCGGACACCTAGTGGGACGCCTGTGTGTCAGAGGAGCGCGTCCAGAGCGCGTCCACACCGCACAGGCACAAGTGTGCGTGCGTGCGGCCGAGTGGCGGCGCGCTCGCGCGCGCGCTGAGGGTGGTTGAGGTGAGATTGACCACCGAGCGCTCGCGAGCGGCCGCGGGGAGGGTCCGTCCACGGTCTCTGTCCTCTAGGAGTCGCGCGGGCGGCCAGGGAGCGCGTGGGAGGTCACCGCATGCGAAGCAAGTCGGCGCGGGGTGCTCGCTCGCAAGCGGTGGAGGCGTTGGAAGTTGGTCTCAGAAAAAAAGCATCTTGCTGAGATGCTGAGAAAAAAATAAACACAAGTGGTGGTGCGAAGGTGCGATCGCCCCCCGATCCTCGGATTTTACAGTACGTGCCTGGGTTCACAGCGATTCTACCCTTATAAGTCTCTCGTGTCCGCGCCGACGCTCTTTTAACGTAGAACGTCCCAGCTGAACACCGCCCGCCGACGATCGATCAGTCCACAATCGTCGGCCCGCAGCGACCCGCAGCGATGGATGCCGCCGCCCCCACGGCCCCTGCGGCCGACGCGCCGATGCACGACCGGCCTCCGTCGGACGGCTCTCCGGCCTCTCCGGCCGCTGCCGCCCGCGCTGCTGCCGATCCGGTCCCTCTAGAGGCAGCTGCGAGGGCGGCAGAGGCAGGAGAGGCCGGAGAGCCGTCCGACGGAGGCGGGTCGTACATCGGCGCGTCGGCAGAAGGGGCCGTGGGGGCCGAGAAATCAATGGCGGCGGGAGGCGGCGCTCAGAAGATCGTGAAACAA